AGCCTGCATTTTTTGCTCCAGGGTGTATATGTGCAAGATTTATTTTCTGATTTCAAGTACAGGACTACAAAGCAACAACACTGATGAATTCTCAAGATGTACCTGTAACCCATGGAGCATTGGCTCATCTGCACAGCCTGTGACAAACACTGGGAAGCTGTGGGACTCCAGGACACGATCTCCTGGCAGACAGAGGGGTCTGGGACCCGGGTGTGCCACATGCCACCAGCTGGGAATCTCTGCTCTCCACAGAGGCTGCCCAGATCCTCAGCCAGGGTCATTCAGAGCATCTCTACTCAGCTTGTGGCTTGGCATTACTTTTAGCTACTGGTTTATCCAGAAACAGTGGATCTTGGAGAAGAACAAGGTCACTCAACATGTGACACATTTAAACAAGCAGCAAACAGTGATGCAACTCTTGGAAAATACATAAATGTACTGTCCCACACAGATTAAAATCATGCAGTGCTTTTTGGAGAGGAGGAGAAGGAAGTAGCCTCTCCCCACTCCTAAAGCCATCATTTAGGGATGCTGCTCGCACAAGGACAAGTGGCTTGTGGTGGTGTTTTCAATTCTCCACCTTCTAGGGAAGATAACACACTGCAGAGCTATTTTAAGAACATCTCATTCACAAAGGTCTCCAATTTAGTCTTCAGAGAGAGAGATGATTTTCTTGCTGCTTCAACATCTTTACTGGCATGACATTTGCTTCAGAGGGAATTCATTTGCTGTTCCAACATCAGAATGAAGCAAGAGCAGCTGCCAGGAGAGGGATAAAAGGAAACACTGGTGACAAAGAGCAGCAGGGTCATTTCTGGTGCAAAGAAATATAGAACAGAGAGGACTGCAGAACTGTCACTTTCTCCAGAAGCAGGGGGATAAAGACTTCCCCTCTGTCTCCTGCAACTGGTGTTTAGCAGCAAGGAGGAAAATGAGACGGAAAGGACTAAACAATCCGGCTGAAGCCTTTAAATGACTAATTATTACAAACCAACCATAAGCACCTGAGCACTCCCAAGCTCATGGGTAAGTGCTGCAGGGAGCAAAGAATTCAGTAGTCAGTCAGGACTCTCAAAAGAAAAGCCTTCTGGCTCCAAAGCTGTGCAGAGCATGAGCTCATGTGTGGGAGATGACAGTGCTGGGGCCGATCTCAAGGCACAGAGCTAATCCTGACTGTCACATCTGTCCATGCAGCACACTGGATAGACCCAGGGCAGGGCTGTCACCACCACAGCCCACCACAAACACTGCTCTGCAGAGCCACGGAGGGCTGGCAGGGCAGGGAAGGAACATAAGTGCCTGTAGAGTCTGATGTTCAGCATCAGAGAGATGCAGGATCTTCGGTGACACCATCTGTCACTCACCCCAGCTGTCCCTGCCCCAGCCCAGGCCCAGCAGTGCTGCCCTGCTGCAGGACCATTCCACCCTCTGATCACTGCCCAAGGCAGGGCACATTCCCACACTGCTGGTTAAAGGCTCTCTTGGCCGACGTGCCTTTGGCCTGACCAACAACCCTACACTGGGCCACCTGCCTGGTTGGACTACTGGATTTTTGTCCCTCTATCTTATTAAAACATTGCCCTGAGAGGGCAGGGATTTATCCCTCATTCCACAAGATGAGCAGATCCTTGCCCTCTTCCTAGATGAAGACATACTGCCATCCTTGCAAGTATTAAGACAGAAACCTTTATAAATAACCAAAGTTAAATGAAAATATTCTTTCCCCTGCTCCTCACTGCATTTATTAATGGAGTAATTTATCCTTTTCCAGTTTCATAGAGAAAAGGTTTTAAAGACAAAAACTCTGGGAAATTATTCTTTGCAAAGAAAAGGAATAACATACTCCAACAGGAATTTTAATCCCCTGATATTTTGTGTATATGTTTATTCTGCCGCACATTAGGATCAGGGTTTATTTAGAGCATGGTATTTATCTGACTAACCAAACTCCCTCAGATTCACAGCCATCAGCACCATGCTTATGACACCTTAAGGGCTTCAGCATTAGGATTTATGAATTAAATATTTCCAGGGTGTTACAGAACACTGAGGACTGTATCTGCAGAGCGGTATATCAGGGGATGTGTGGGCTTGTCAAACACCCACATGATAAATTATCAATAGTGCAGCTCAGAGCACCCCCTTTTTGGATCAGAGACAAATCCATGCATTTTATTATGCTTTGTTCCACTTGATGTAACTTTTTCTGCATTAAAGGATCACAAAGAGCCTACATGCCTAAATGCTGAAGGACATTCATGCACAACTCACAATCAAAAGACTTATTCTAATATTCCAAGTTCTGTTTTCACAGCTAGTTTGTGTGTGACAAGGAAAAAAAGCCCACAAGGTATGTCTGGAACTGAACCATCACATTTTATACTGTGCAAGATAATACAATCTTTCGTGGAGAATTTTAAGGTTACAACACTGCTGAGGACCAGAAACAGGACTGGCTGATTACGAACTGTCCTCCATCCCCGTGCACAGAGAGCTGTCAAAAGGATTATATCCCTGCAAAGCAAGTGTCAAATCCAAGGGGAAAACAAATCTCTCAAGAGTCAGAAAAGACTACACTTGACGCCGTGGGTTTTTGAAAATGAACAAGTCTGTGCCCTGTGTTTCTGAGGCACAGTATTGACTTTTCTATATAATTTTTACCTGAGTTTAGCATGGACAACCCCAACTATAGCAGCATTCCCTCTCAGACAGCAGACTTGTACTGGTTACAGCACTTACTGTGAGGACAATGCTAAGAGACAGATGCATGTCCCCATGAATAACTGTCTTCAGCAGCAAGAGATTAGAATTGATCTGTCATGTTTCAGCAGCAGCAGTCACCAATCCTGTACCTCCAGGCCTCACTGGGGATGACAAATGAGCTGCCCTCAAACCAGGCTTTGGCAGGACCTCGTGCAGTGTCTCTGCCTGCCCAGTTCCAATTACCATGGTTGGATTTTGCCAACTCGCCCATCAAGCAGCTCAGGCTCACTGAACTACTTCCAGAACACTCCTGCTCCAAGTTCCACGAGCCAGCTCAGTGCTGAGCCCCCTCAGCAGCCTTCAGGGGGCAGGAGGGGAGGAGGAAGCCCTGACTTACACCAGGACACCGTTAATTCCCTCTGCTCTGAGCGGGAGTGATTCCCAGCACTCCCAGGGAACACGTTCACATAACAGACCTGCACTGAGGAAACAAATGGTCCATCAGGTGAGCACTTTGTCAGCAAGTTCTGCGTTTCCTTAATATCCTTTTAAAAGCTTTTTCCTTACACATACCTCCCTACGAATCAACTGGATCTCCTCCTCCTTAAATTTCATAGCACGAAGAGCCCAAAAAGCAGCTGAACTGACAGTCTTAAGCTTCACAGCATGGTAGAGGCCAGGGACAACAATTAAAGTGTTTAGGAACCCAGTGTGGGTTCAGCAGGAAGATACACCCATCAGGGTGGGTCACTCCAACGCTGGCACCTGACAGAGCTCCATATGGACCCCGAGATAGCACAGTCCTCATGCTGCCTCTCACCTCTCTGAGGGGCTGGCTCAGCTCCACAGGGCAAAGAAAACATGGGGAATATGGCTGTAGCATTTAATCCAACTCAAATTAATAACGTGGGTCCCAGATTTTACCCACAGTTTCCAGAAGGAAGCTGGAAGGGGTGGTTTGGAGTGTCGGGAAAACAGGTGCCAGTGCCAGGACTGCAACCCTGCTCTTCTTATTCCTGCTGAAAACCCAGGACATGGCAGTGTCTGACCACACCTCAGGGTACTGCTAGGACACTTACTGACCCAGTAAAGTACCTAACTGAACAAAGATTTAAGATGACACTGTATTTGGACTTGAATAATGGCACTGAGACAATGATCTGCAGGTACACCAAGAATCCAAGTTCCCACACAAGGATTATTAGGCCTCTGCTCCATTTTACTACTTGGAAAGGTATTGCAATAGCAGAGAAAGAAAAAGGTCCATAATGAAAAGGTGTGGGAGAGTTTTAAAAGCCTTCCAGTCCTGCCAACGCAGCCCTGTGGCCTTTGGTCCCTGCTTCCTTCTTCAGTCCCCCACCCCACACCTCCCCAGAGCCCAGGAGAACCCTTGGTCTCTCCATATCCATACCCACATTACCAGCCTGTTATCAACTCCAAGGAAAACATCAACCAGACAGCTACAAATACAAGTTCTAAAGAAGTATCCTGTTTCTTCCGATAGGTAATACTAGAAAATGCCTGTAAACCAAGCCTACTCTTCCCTGGTTTTCCTTTTTATTTTTTTTTTTTTAATTTAAGTGAAATCTCTGGTTTTAGAGACATGATGGCAAAAACCCTCTGCTATCATGCTAATTCCAGACCGGAATACAGGTAACAACATTTAGAAACGCAGAAGAAACAGCCTTAACAAAGAAACCCATCTTCAGTCCTGCAAGGCTTTTCCTGTTTACACTGTCAAAGAGCAGGCAAAAAGGACCCAAACCCCTTCTCACAAAGGTTTTGCCCCCGAGTTTCGGGAACTGCAACAGGCTGTGGCATTCACGCTGTGCCCGCTGATGTCCGGTTTCCATGGACAGAGAGGGCAGGAGCCGGTGCTGCAGCACCGGGGATGTGCTGGCACAGCCCAGCAGCGCAGCCGGCCCGTCCCAGCTCTGAGGGCTCCTTCCCCAGCTCCAGGTTCCCCGCCAGTCCCTCCCCTCCTCTGGAACCGCTCCCCGCCTTCAGTCACCCCAGGGAACCTCCTTATCACCGCCGCAGGTAATTTAACTCTGCCCCGCGGGCAAGGCTCTGATAACCAGGGGGTTTTCTGAGGTAAAACTGTTGCTCAGGTAGGATCAATATTCACATGAGAAAAAGGGAAAGTGTTGGGACCGTGGGGTGTTCCCTCAGCCTGTGCCGTGGGGAACCCTGACGCCTCACACAAGGGCACCGCGTCCCCCAGGCCGGCGGGTTCGTGGCGTGAGTGAACTAGAACAACGCACAGAGGGTGTTTTGGTGCTGGTTCACACACGTACCTCGCACTGGGCCCCCTGAGCGTGTCCTGGGCACGCTGCGGGGGCCGGGAAGACACTGCTGGGAACGGCTGGAACCCGCCGTGAGCGGGGGATTTGCCGTGGTGTGAGCCGGTGCCACAGCTGTGCCACAGCCCCGGGCCCCGCTGCAGCCCCGCTCTGCAGCTCTGAGAGACTTGAGAAAAGACCCCCGAGTCCCGGAACAAACCCCCTCAGCAGCCCCCACACCCCCCGCCGGCCGCCCCCGGGCTCCAGGGAGCGGGGTCAGCGCGCATCGGGCGGGGGGAGAGCGGGCAGGGAGGGAGCCGAAGGAGGGCCCCACCCCGGCGCTGCCCCCTCAGCGCGGCCCCCGCCCCGCCGCCCCCTCAGCGCCCACAGCGGCCCCGCGCGCGCCGCGTCCTCACCTCACCCCGCCCCGCGCCGCCATTGGCTCCGCCCGCCGCCCGTCAGCGGGTCCCCGCCGCTCATTGGCCGCCTGCCGCCTGTGGGCGGGCGCACCGGCCACTTCCGCGTCCGTCCCCCGGCGCCGCGCTCTGCGATTGGCGGAGCGGCGGCTCCTTCACCGCCCATCGGCGCCGGCCACTGGCAAGGGGAGCTGTCAGTCATGCGGCCGCCCCGCCTCCCGGTGCCATTGGCCCAGTAACCCCTTTTCGGGCTCTCGTTTCTCTCCATTGGCTCATCGGATCGGACGGGCGGTCGCGATTGGGCGAGCGGCGGGTGCCGGGGGCGGGACTGCGCTCGGGAGCAGCGCCGATTGGCCGGCGGGCCCCCGCGATTGGCAGGAGGGCGCGGGGGCGGGGCCGCCCGGGGCGAGGGTTGTGTGAGGTGAGGGAATCTCGCGGGGTCTCGGCGGCTCCGGGCGCGGCGGCGCGCGCCGATTGGCCGGCGGGGTCACGGGGGCGGGGCCGCGCCGGGGGCGGGGG